CTTTGGCATTTTGGTCGCCAGAAGTAGAATCTAAGTTGTTATTAAATTACATTAATATAAAGCTTGTCATTTGTCATTTCAAGGTGAGTGTGATATTCTTTTGAGTTCGGATTCCTAACGTTTTTGTTTGAACATTTTTGTTGCTGTGTATTAAGACTATTTGGATATATAAACGAGGAATCGTGTAAGGAGGAAATGTAGGCTGAAAGCCTATTTACGTTTACTATATCACCAGCATACATTGGCTCTGTACTGTTATATAACGAGAACGAGAATTGATAAATGAATTATGCTTTGAGAATGAGAATTGATAAATGAATTATGTCTAAGCCCGAAAACATATCAATTTTATTTCATTAGTGTGTTTACCGAGCAGAAACTCACTTAAGCAATATAGGTCACACACATTTACTTTAGTTTCTAACTTGCAACTGCATCATTAGCATTAAATATTTTCGCGACAAAGTGACATTTCTTTAGCTTTGTGTTATCAGGAGCACATATAACTCTCTGCACATAGTCATCTATAATTTGAACTGGTAGACTAGAAAGAAGGCAGCTAGTCAACAGCATTCTCAGGCAATGTATGAAAATTCGATTTAGGTCTATTACAAAAATTATTTATACTTAAGTGGTGTCAGAAATTCAAATCAAACCTTTATCCTGTTCAACCTTTTAAACTACAGCATGTTTAACATGTTTATCTATGGAACACAAAACTTTCTTAATTGGTTGTATTCCTTAGTGGCTTGATGGTTGTCACACAGTTTAACTCGTTATTAGGAAGGAAATAATAAAACATATAATAACGATGGATTAAGCCCTATATAATTAAACAAATTGATATATGTGTCCGTCGTGTTAGGGTTTCAGTTACGCACAAAGATATACTTGTTTCTTTTTTTTTTCACAGCTTTACTGTGCATTTTGTCCGTTAGAGTTTTTGTATTATCTATTTTGTTCTTGGCATGATGTACTAAATAATGTACTTTCTTCTTAATAGAAAAGTAAAATGAAATAACATTCACTAGAAATGTATCCCGTTACAATTTTAAACATAAGTATCATACTTTATCAGTGATCACTTTCTTTACCACTGTCACTTTAATTACCAGTTTAATCACTAATGATTTCAGGAAATCGATACAAGTCATTGTAACTGGTATATACATACAAAGCTATTGTTACGTCTCCAGTCGTTAGTTAATTTTCCGTAACTTCGTTCCGACGAAACTTTAGCGACACAAGTCCTTTCTTAAATAAAACTGGTTTATTCTTTCCGAATACAACTTACGATACACTTAATTTCACAGTCGCTCTATAACAAACGCTCACGTCTCACGTGGCCAACAATATTTTGTCCGCATACATTCAATTACTCATTACCTACACACATTCCCCCGTCACGTTGTGACCATCCTATATATACCAGACTACCCCCAATCTAGCAATCTCCCGACAATTCGCGAAGGTTCGAGAAGGAAGTGGCGTGATCTAGTCACGTGACCTCGCTGACGCAACACTATAAAATACTATCTTCACTCACGTAGTATTAAACAATTGAAAATATTTAATCATTTATTCAACATGATGTATTTATTAGCAGTTCAAAGTTCAAATTTAGTATTACATGTGAGATCATCAAAAGTTTAATCTATGCTTCATACGTAATGACGAAAAAAAGTTCTAAGTGACATTAAGAAAGACGTGCAGTGACATGTTCAAATATTAAATGACACATCATAACAATAGATGTGACTGATATTCGTATATACTATGTTCAATATGAGCATAGTCAAAGCTGTTTGCTGAGAAATGTTCAACCACCACCAACAGCAAAAAGATTGTAACAAACTAGAAAAGTGTTAAGGTTCTTTTAATGATTTAAACTTAACGTTCAGTGTTATTTTAATAAGCATATGCATGTAGTCTTTTAGCTGATCACCAAAAATTTTGGAAAAAAAATGCTTTAACCATGAATGTTACATGATAATGTTCTCTGTGTATAACACGCATTACTGAAGAAACACTACCATGTGATCTTGATAAAATGTACGAGAGAATCCTGTTGATTGAAACTTTTATTATTTGGTATGAGTAGTAACGACTAATGTCTTTGGTCCCTTGAACACGTCTGACGATGTCGTATTGTCTCTGTAACAAAATATCTGTTTTTCAGTTTCTTATAGATTGTTCTGAAATTGCGCAATCAGTTTGAAAGGTAGATTTTTTTAACTTTGAACTTCCTTCATCGATTTTCAAAGTTAGTTGGATCATACAATATATTACTTCAGAGCTTATCACCTTCGTTACACGATACTTCTAGCTGGGATGTATGCCGGTGGGACAACAGTACGTTTACGGACTTACAACGTCCAATTCCCCTCGGTGGACACAGCAGATAGCCCAATGTGGCTTTGGTCTAAAACAAACAAACAAACTAGTTGGGATAGAAGAGTAGAGAGTGGTAGCAAAACGTTTCTCTTTTATTGGATATCTCGTAAATAATAACTAGCTAATAGCAAACAAATACAAATTAACATATGAATTTTTACAATATTATTAATGAAATTTGTCTCCGTTTGGTGGTGTCTCTTTGTTTTTCCGCTTGCAAATCTCTCTGGCCATACTGTTCTAGCTGCGGGACTAGAAGTGTTATATAAGGAATATATCAGTTCGAAGCTTTTATAAAAACGATGTTATATTCTTAGATAGATTGATTATTCACGATTATTTAAACCTAGGAAATATTTAGACGTTATATCAGTAAGAGATGAGGCCGAGAACTTTCTATACCTTCGCTGCTTTTGAGCACAATGATTCATATTGGCATCTACTCTTTTCTAAAGCTGAACTTCAGTAGGCTTAAACTGAAGCAAACCAAAATCTTGGCGTACACATAGGACTGCGTACAATGATAAGTTATTTTAAATACAAAATTCTATTTGTGAGCTTATTAGAGTAGCTTAACATTTATCGTTACTATTAATACACTATAATTTAAAAGTCAGGCTTTTACAAAATTTTTATTCGTTGGAAATTTAAGCTTCAGATTGAGAAACAAACAAAATATTAAACAGCCTGTGTGAATGTAAGCATGAAAGAATTGAATTATTCACTTTTGTTTTCTAAGCATTTCGTAAAAAATATTGGATATACTGATGCTGCTTTTATAAAAGAAGCTCGCCCTTTCAACCGTGGTGGCGTTATAATGTGACGGTCAATCCCACTATTCGTTGGTAAAAGAGTAGCCCAAGAGTTGGTGGTGGGTGGTGATGACTAGCTGCCTTCC